ATACATTAAAACTGCTCCATCTGAGACAAAATAGAAGGCAAAGCAATATCTCTGTTTACTTGTGACACTTAGTTAGTCAACAAATGTTCAGAGTATGGGTTAAATGGAGTCAGAGAAGCAACATGGTGGTGAAGCGGGTCAGGTTTTTGGGTTAATGTGTAACTTTAGTGGAGTCAGTCCTGATCAACGATTGGCAGGAAGGTAATGTACAGCCCGGGTGTTGCTTTTCAGCCCATTTATGCTCCTCACAGCTTGATGAATCTCCTCCATGGAGGACGTTAGGTTCATCCACAGGTGGACGACTACAGGTTTGAACTTTTACAAGAATTGTACATTTGTAGATGATTACGCCAATGAAACTATATATTTTACCCCTCAGGTGGTGACGTATCAGGAAAAGGATGTTCGTCTCTGTCCCCCAGGCTCAGTAACTGGAATCTGTCCCTGCAGGGTGAACCTGTGCAGGGCCCGGCTGGTTACTGCACCCAGGGGTCGGGCTAATCTCCACAGGCCAGATTAACGCCAATCCAGACGCAATCGCATTTAAACTAAGAAATGTGCAAAGATTTGTTTTACCATATGCAGACAGATTGTATGATCTGTGCTGGAGCAGTAAAAACATCTTGTCAAAAGTATTCAGAGATTAATGTAACAGCCACAAAGATAATGAGATTTTTATTATTAATAATATTTAGAAATAAACCTGGCTTTAATGTAGTGAATTTTAGTTTTATATCAGTCTTGTAGCATTAGGATTAAAAATAATTGTAAAACCATCCAAACTCTAATGCATACTGAACATTTAGTTTTTTGTTGAAGACAAATGAAGAACTTAATTGAAAACTAAAATAGTTTAATCTAAATTCTGCATAAACATAAATAACAGTCTGAATGTTTCAGAATCATTCTCATTTTTTAGATTATTTTCTCTTCTGGACATTTTTCAGAACAACTCATTTTGTAATTTTTGTTTTATTTCAACTAGTCATAAATCAAAATGTTCAGCTCATTTACAACATTCCTGCTGTGGCTTCTGGTATTTGTGCATTTTTTACTTTTTGAAATATTTATGTTTGTCAGCCATGTTTTTCCTCATTGAAAATGAATGGAGCTCTTCACATCCTTCAAAACGTTTGAGCAGTTTAAAACCTTTTACTGCTGATTTCAGCTGTTGTTTTGGTTCAGCCTTTTTCAGCTTTCTTTCTGCTAATTTTGGCTTCTTTCAGATCCTTTTAACTTAATTCTGATCCGTTCAGCTTTTCTTTCTTCTATTTCCAGCTTTTTTGGTTTCCTTTCAGCTTTTTAAACTCCTTTTAGCTTTTATCTTTCTTTTTGCTAATTTCAGCTTTTTGTGCTTTTTTGGCTACTCTGATTTTCCGCTATTTTTTGCCGTTTGTGCTCTGGTAAGCTTCTTTCTTCTAATTTCGATGTGTGTGTGTGTGTGTACCTTTGGTTGTCACACTTGATTTTTTTTTATAACTGGGAACATTAGAAAAGGTGGTCCCTGCAAGTGAGGACAAAAAGTTGCGTCCCTATGAAACATATAGACGCGTATGTGTGTGTATGTGTGTGTGTGTTCCTTTTGACGTTTTCTTCTAATTCAAGCTTTTTACACTTCTTTTGGATTTTTATTGCTAATTGGAGCCTGTTTTGCTCCTTTTAGCTTCTTGCTACTAATTTCAACTTCTTTCAGCTGCTTTATTGATAATTTCAGCTGTTTTGTGTGACTTTCCATCTTCTTTTCAGCCATTGGTGTATTTCAAGCGAGCTTTAGCAGCTTTTAGCAAAGTCATTTATCAAGTATTCACGCTGCCTTTTCGCAGGAAAACATTTTTCTCTGGATTTTAATCAACCGCAGCTCAGTCTGACCAGCAGGTGGAGGAAGAAGACTGGAGTTAAACTGCTTCACCGTCCTGAGAGGAATTTAGCAACTGGATCTCAAGTTTAGCAGAAAACATGAATCAGGCCTTTGGTGAGACATTCTGAGTTGCTGCTTGTGTCACATTTCCACCCTCAGGCATTCAGTCCTGAAGTAACTGCGTGGGTGAAGGCCTGAGCATGAAAACAGCCAGGCTTTTTACAAATCTGACCTTTAAAAAACAATAAAATCAACAAGAATGCCAAATAAAAGTAAACAGACCTGATATATATGATGAGTGTGCATCTCATGAGCAACATGGTCAATAAGTTTTATGTGTACAGTGCCAGTACCTTAAAGTAACCTGATCCTGTCGGAGTCGTGACTTAAGACTGAGTTGCGCGAGTGTTAAAATCGTCCCCTTCAACTCGAAGGTCACATGTCAAAGGTTCCACAGAGCTATTATAGATCCACTCAGCTCACACGGGCTTTTTCTCAGGTTCAAACTGGTGCAATGGATTGGATTCTGTTCCCACCCCCGTCCCGGGAGCTGTTGATTTTAGGGTAAACTGTTCGCAGCTGCTGAGTGTTCACACCGCTGCAGCTGTGGGAAATGTTTATCCCTTTTTGTAGATTCTTTAAACAGCTGCAGGAGCTGGAGCTCCGTGTGGTAAAGGGAGCTCAGAAGTGGCAACACCTGTTTTTCACCTAACACCGAAGGTCACTTCATCATTTTACCTCACAGTCGAACAGCATGATTAACCCTGGAAGACTTGAGGGGATTAGCTGATTAAAAACTAGAACTTTTTATTTATTTTTGCCTCTCAAGCAGAATGTTTCACAAGTCTTAACATTAATACTGATAATAACAAGTCATCAGTTCTTTCACTGAAACAATTGTTTGACAATACAGAAAAAAGTTTCTCCCCATCACTTTGTAATAACTCAGACAAATCTAAAAAATGCCACTTAAAATGTGTCGTTTAAGCATTTAACGTCTGGAAATCCTTTAAACTTTATGAGCGTTAAGGGGAGAAAAAAATCAGCTGCTTGACTGCTTAAAATATTTTTTATTATTTTTGCCAAATAAACAAGTCAGTGTTTTAGAGCTATCTGAGCCAGTAATAAAAATATAAATGATGTTTTACAGTTTTATTTTATAATTATTTAAGGGCTTTTATTATTATGATCAATATAATAATAATAATAAAGTCCACATTTCAGTTTTTTTAAATCAAATCATTTAATTTTAAGGCAATTTTTAAAAAAAGACACCGCACACTCCTCCCTTCCCCCAGTTAGTTCACCCTAAAGAAACCCAGTCTGGAGTTTTGCAAAGATCCTCCAGATCAGAAAGCCAAACATGATGTTTCCATGAAACTTACGTGTCACTCTGATCTGACATAGATGGCTTTTAAAATGATTTTTTTTATTTCTAAAGCTCTACTTATACACAGAGACAGTTTTTGTAGGTTTTTTGTTTCTACTGAACCGTATATCTTACCGAGCTGCTGCAGCCCAGTGCATCTCATACTGATGTCCTGATCTGTCAAACGGTAAATGGACTGTACTTATACAGCACCTTTCTATCTTATCAAGATACTCAAAGTACTTTACAAGACAATCCGTGTCCTCATGTACCCATTCATACAGCACTCTACTAAATATATACAATAATCAGTGCTTTTAGATCACATCAGATCAGGGGGCAACTGTGGATGAGTGGTTAGAACAGTTGTCCTCCAATGTCAGAGTTGGGGGTTCGATTGCATCAGCAGTCACATGTCGAAGTGCCCCTGGGCAAGACACTGAACCCCTCATTGCCTCCGATGTGTGTCCCATCAGTGTATGAATGTGATCTCAAACACAGATTATTCTTCGTATAGCTCTAGTAGAGTGACGTATGAATGGGTAAATGAGGGCACAGATTGTTGTAAAGCGCTTTGAGGATCAAGAAGATAGAAAGGAACTATATACGTGCAGTCCATTTACCATTTAATAAATGTTTACTTATGTAACATGCACGTGTGTTTTTGGTCGGCACATCTAATCTAAAAACAGCTTTGTCAGACAGGAAGAGAGAAAAACAAAACAGCAACTCAACTTGCCTTACTTCCAGGGTAAGTTGAAGACCGTCTTGGTAATTTACAAAAGCCCACAAGGTTTGGGAGTGGTGGAGCAGAGGTTAGAGACGGTGGGTCTGTGATCAGAGGGTCGCCGGTCAATTGGAATTAATTTCCCCATTGGGATTAATAGAGTACAAAAATAATAAATAAATAAAGGTACAAAGCAAAACATCACCATGTGAGCTAATATAAAAATCAAATGTATAGTGATAGAGGTAAAATTAAATAAAAACATTACTGAAATGAATGCATTGTTTTATAATGTGGTAATTATAGGATCAGAAAATGCATTTATAATGGGATTTCCCTATGGTGGATTTTTCTCTTAAGGACCACTAGAGGGCAGCAATGTTACTGTGAGCTTATGAGAACATTTGGAAAAAATTCTGAGAAAACATAAATGTTTAGAAAAAGTTTTAGGCTTTGTCAGGAATGACCGTTTACTGACAGCACCCCGAAAAATAAATAAAATGAAAACAGACAAAATTAAATGCGTAGCTGATTTTTTTCTGAGACCTCGAGAAGATTAAATAATTGACAGAACTCTTTCAAACAATACTGACTAGCTGTTAGCCTGGGGTACCTCTGAGGAATGTGATTTGGACAATTAACTGTTTTGATGCTTTGTCTTAATGGCATGCCTCCAAAGAGGGATGCACAAAAATACAACAAAAGTCAGTGTGTAAACCAACTTTTGAAAAAAATCACGTCTTAGTATCAGAATAACCAAGTGCGCACATTATTCTTCCAAAACTAGCTATATTTATTCAGAACTTTCCACCATATAGAAGTAATTTGTACACATTTACAGCTTTTATAAGAAACACTAGAGTTGATTTTTTGAAAAAGCTTCTCACTTGATAGTATATATCAAAGTTAGCTTATTTACATACTATCCATGTTTACTTTATACATGTTCATGCTTTTATTGCAAAGAAAGTGAAAAATTGTGCTATAAATACATTTTCAAACAGGTTAACTTCATAAAAAGATACAAAAAACAATAAAAAAAAAAGAAAATCTAGGCACGAGTCGGTTCTGTTTCATAATAATGAGCCACAACTCATTCAGGTTTGTGTTGTTTCTGTTTAACAATAGACATCCAGGTCAGTGGAAACGTCCAGCAGTGGTGCCTCGAGCCTGTCCAGAAAACTCTCTTTGGTGTCGCTACCCCCAACACCCTAGCTGGACTGAGCGAGGGGGGGCATTTTGCCCACACCGCCCTAACCATAAATGAGGCCTTCACAACCAGTCTAAAAATAACAGAGATCAAGACAAGAGGGGACAAAACAGGAGGCCTGTCTCCTGTGCACAGTGAAGAAATGTCTCCATGTTTATCTGCAGCAGCTGATCAGTACAAAGCATCTTCGTAAAAATCCGTCCGCAGGCAGAAGAGGATCCCTCCGCCCAGCATGAAGATGGTGGCCCCCCAGCCGAGCCCGTAGCCCCAGTTGAACTCGTGATAGGTCTCTCGAATGGTTCCGTCGATGAACTTGATGGGGTAGAGGACCAGAGCGCAGGCCTGCAGAACCACTGGAACCAGAGAGGAAATCATGAGATATTTGTTTTACAGTGGAAATATAAAAGGGCAGAGCTGTGGAACTCACTGGGTTTAATTCATCTCACATGTCTGAGGTTTGACACGGTGCTAGAACCAAAACAAATGACACGCTACACCCCACTGCTAATACGTTACAGCTCTCGAAATAAAACTATAAACAAATGTTACCAACAGTCTGCCAGTCTAGCAGTTATAAATTATATGTATTTAAAGTTCATTCTTTTGTATTTAAAATGTAAAACCTTTGACTCATCAATCATGGCGCTACGTCTAATAATTTAAGACAAAGCTTCATTATTCTTTACATCACTTCAACCCAACAAAGATTTTAAATAGTTAAAAACAAGGAATTGGATAGTTAAGTTTGGTCCTTTTTAAATAAAACAATGTTTATCTTAATTTGATGCAACACATAAAAAAATTTGAAACCGGTATAAAACAAGCTTGTGACGAGATTATTTTGTAAGTATTCCAATACTGTAACTAAAATCCAAATACTCCCATCAATCCGTTACGATTTAAAAATTTGAGTTACAGTGCATTTCTATATTTTATTTTAAATGGGATATTTCTGAAAACTCCTTTCCACATGTTCTACTCGCTATAAAAACTTCTTACTAGATTTTATAACGGAAGCCTACAGGTGCCAATCCTGAAAAAAATAAAATCAAAATGTGAAAAGTTTCTTGTTCGAAATATATATATTTTAATGTTATATCATTACGGTTTATTCTCTTATATTTTTTCAAGTTCTGTTGAAAACTTGATTAGATTTTTTTTTTTGAATCGTCAACATTTAAGAACTGTATGGGATAATGTGAGCTTTGAGGTACAGAGTGATAGGTATGCATGCAAATAAAGTGAAAACTGTTATAAAAGTAAAATATAAGAACATGAAAAAACGAATTAACAGAAATAAGTTAATGTTAGAACAAGAAACTTTTCACATTATAACATGGTAACCAGTGTTACCCCACCATTATTCAAGGAGGGCGCCCCTCCCTGTCAACAGAACCAAGTGCCCCGCCTATCAAATCTCCCATTAAGCTCCGCCCCTTCTGGACGGGGAGCAGAGATTGTAGCAGCTCAGTTCAGATGCCAAACTGCGACAACTGCGTGCGGTACAAATGTAGCGCTCCACTTTATTTTGTTAATCCTCCTCATTTTTCTGCCTGAAACCAAATAAACGTTTGTGCGGCATAGAAATGCAATTATATGTAAAAATAAAAATTAAGTTCCAGTGTTTCCCTAGATAACTTGCCATGGCAGGGCACTCATCTCGTATGCGATTTTTGTGGTGGTGGTGGTGGTGGGGACAGACAGTTTTAGATTGGGGGGGCAGACACACAACCATGCACTGTTTGCACATCAGTTTTAGAGAGAGGGTAGCTAGCGCACCTGTATTGCGAGCCGCTAGCTTAGTGTTACGTCAGTGCCGACAGGTGGTTGGGGGTGGGGGATGCACAGTTCTGTTGACAGGGCAGGGCGTCCCACTTGTATAATGGTAGGGGAAACACTGACTCGATCAAGACAACATGAGATTATTGACTCATGAGCTCATGAAAGCACACCTGACAGCTGGACGGCTGGTGAACGGAGGCTGAAGAGGAAGATGTTTTTCGGTTTTCAGTGTTAAGCTGAAAGTCACTGTCAGTGACCTTTCTTTTTCCTAGATGCAGCCACACACCAGTGGTTTTATTTCCTTTACATGTGTACTAGGTGACTCCTGAGGAAAGGCTTTTGAGTAAACACTGCTCCACCTTTCCTTCCTACAGGACGGAGCAGTGGGCAGGACCGATGGTAACCTCAGACTGCGTTTTGTGTTGTTGGAGGCCCGACTGAACCGGCTGAGGTCATATTTCTGGAAGGAAAATAAATACCAGTCACAGTGCTCCTGCCAAGAGCTGTTTAACAATCCAACCCTTCTGCTGCTGCTCTGCTCAGGACTCGGTCTGTGTGGACATTTTTCTTGCAAGGCTTTAGAGGTAATTACATGCAGGAAAGGATAACACGGCATTCCCATGCGTTCCAGTAAATGGGCAACAGTCAAGACACGGTTACAAAAGTCCTTTGAGACCTTTCAGCAACAGAACAAGATGATTCCTTGTAGTTTCTGCAAGTGCATGTTGTTTATACCACTGTAAACAACTACAAACTACTTTTAATAAGAGAACCTCCTAAATGGATTTTAAGGTAAATTTACTGTCTTTGAACGCATCATGGATTTGAGACAATGAACACAAAATGGGAAAAATAAATCTGTGAATTAACTAATACATTAAAACTACCGGTAATACATTTTTATTTTTTCTGGAAAAATAGTTGCCCAGACCTTTTTGTTTTAAAGTAAGTCAACGCTAACGTTTTTGCTCCGATGTTGGGATTTCATCAAACGTTTTCAGGGTGAAGGATCTGGACTGAAACCGGACCAGTTAAGGACCACAAATGTTTTACTACGAGCTCAAATTGTTGTAGTACATACAAATTTGCACAGAAATTATCTCAGCTCAGATGAAAGGAACATCCAGCAGAGATGCAGCTTCATTCCCTCTGTGGCTTTTAGCATACCGTTTGGCGTTCGTTTAGCGTATATCTTAGTTTATATCTTAGATCCTTATTTACGGTTCCTTTTTACACTTTATATTTTTGCTATCGTTAAATGTAACTGGGACCCTGTGTACACAATCAGTTTTGTTCCACTACATGTACCACATGTGATGCGAACGACAAAGAATCTCTGACTCAGTGTAACAGACCATATACTCCCAGTCCAGACTGTACCTGGGCTTAAAGGAGCCCAGGCTGGATTATACTCCAGGTATACTATGGTCTAGGCTTATTCATACCCCTCAGGCCAGATTATACAATATATACTATAAGTGAGAAAGCTAACTGACTGAAATCTTAAAACTTTAACCATTTGGTATGAGCATATATGAGTATACTGTATATGGGACAACTCCCGGTACAGACAACATCAAAATGCAGGTGGGAAAGGTGAAACACCCACACCTGCCTCCATCCTTGAGCAAGGCCCTTAACCTCCCCCATCTGCTCCCCTGGGCACCCTAGATGGCAGCTCTCTGCTCTACACAGAGGGCTGTGGTAACATCAGGAACGGTATCCGGTATAAAAATAATTGTCAAGTCTTTGTGCGACTTAGTTCGCTGTGGTGACAACCGATGAAGGGAGCAGTAGAAAGAAGAAGAAAAAAAATGTATGAGTATATATGGGTATATAGATGGGTATATTCTGGCCTGGAGTGGTATAGTCTGACCTAGGTTACATTGCACCCTAGGTACAGTTTGGTCTAGCACAGTTTATCCCCCGAGGGAAACTCTGGCCTGGGCCAAACTATACCAGAGTTTAATCTGGGCAGAGGTTAATGTGGCCTGCTACATCAGTCCCAAACATCACAGAAACACTGAGCTGTAACTCTGACACCGAAAGCACAACAAGGCCAACTCTGTCTTTAAATAAAACATTCGTAAACTAATAAACTGAGAACATGCTGTGCTGCTTTCCACCTCAAATACAGAGAGGAAGAGGTACAAACATTTTGAAGAAGCCACAACCAGGAAGAAAAGTAAAACAGGTCAGAAGATGGTGAAGAGTATCTCAGAAAAGATTTATGCTTTAGGGCTAAATATTTCCCATTACAGCAGGGTTTTTATTTCCAAAGAGGGTCTTGTTTTTTCTGCAAGACGGTAACAAATCCAACGTTTTACAGAAGCATCACTAACTGAAAACAATTAATGTATTCTAAAACATAAAAACACAAAAGAGGTTTTGAAATGTTAAGAAAAAGAATGCTAATATCAAGCAAGAATAGGGAAAGTGAATAGGATGAATGTTTCATACATGATTCAATTTTACTTTAGCAAACAAGAACAGGGTGCCAGTGCTCAGTGTTTCATCACACCGAGTCTGTTATTGTCCATAAATAATGTGCCTATTATTTCTGATGATAAGTTTTGAATTCAGACCCTCCTTCCTCGCTGCTAAACTTCAGTTAGGCCCCAAGAAAAGCAGCAGTCCAACAATGAGGCAAAGCTGGGCGAGGATTCTGTGTTTTTTTTTGCCTAACAGTGACGTCACTCCGTTGGTTAGGCTGCAAATTCTGCGGCTGCTTTTGGCTCATGAGCCAGCAGCTCTCTGACTTTCCCTGCCTGTTTGTATGGAAACTCTTGTGGTGAATAAAACAAAAAATGAAATGGCTCTCTGTTTCAAAACACATTTGTCCACGAGTGGCTGAAGGATCGTATGGAGTAAAAAAAGAGGGAACTGTGACGTACCTGCAGTGAAGAGGAACACCGCTACAACGCGGTACTGTTGTCTCTGCGTCCCCCAGCACAAGGAAACCAGGGCCACCAAAAACGCCACTAGAGTCGCCACCGCGCCGGCCCCCAGCAGCACCAGGGTGGCGATCTGCCAATCTGCAGGACAGGACACAGGGAAACATAAAACGAGTGCTACTCCCACACAGAGAGGAGAACAGACTGAAACCTGCACAAGACAAAAGATCTGTCCCAATTCTGCCTAAACAATAAGAAACTGATCAGTGGCTCTGAACGAGCAGGAAGTAGAAGGAGAATATCTTATACGCCACATTATACACCCACTGGCATACTGCTTCACAGCAATATAGAGGAATAGCACAGACAAGCAAAGACCTTGAATAACCTTTGACCTTGATTGTGATCTTGACCTTAGAGCAGGGGTGATAGTGTATGCAACACTGATGTGTATCAAGTTTCATTAAATTATCTTCAGTGGCTCCGAAGTTAAGATCCAGGCAAAAGAAAGTTTCTGTCCATACGGAGACCATCCATCCATCCATCCATCCATCTTGTGCTTGTTCCAAAGTTGGGTCTTGGGGGCAGCAGCTTGAGCAGGGAGGCCCAGACATCTCTTTCCACAGCCACGTCTTCCAGCTCTTCTAAGAGGACTCCAAGGCATTCACAGGCCAACCAAGAGACAGTCTCTACAGCATGTCCCGGGTCTTCACCGGGGTCTCCTGCTAGTCTGACATGCACAAACCACCTCCCTAGGGAGGCACCCAGGTGCTTGAACAACCTCAACTGGCTCATTTTGATGTGGAGAAGCAGCGGTTCTACTCTGAGTCTCTCCTGGATAACTGAACTTCTCTCCAGCTACCCTGTGGAGGAAACTCATTTCAACCTGTACCCGTGATCTCGTTCTTTCAGTCACTACCTAGAGTTAATGGCCATAGGTGAGGGTAGGAACATAGAGCGACCAGTAAACACAGAGCTTCTCCTTACAGCTCAGCTCCCTCTTTACCACAATGGACCAGAACAGGGGGCCGGCGCCGCATGGAGACGAATGTAAAATCAAAATCAAGAGAGCTTTTATTAAACCTGTGAACATCCTGGATCAACCTGAGCCTGAATCTAAAATCTCTGGAGAAACATCCGAGCAGCAGATCTGCCGGGCTTACAGGATCCGATTCGATGTGCTTTAACAGTGTTTTGTAAAATTATGAAATGCTCCAGAACCCATTTGTACTTCTCCTGTGTGGGAAAGATCTGCTCTACTTAAAACATTTACTGGCTCTGTTCCAAACAAACTGCAGCTGCTAGGCTCGAGAAAACTCCAAATCCTTTCCATGAGGAGATTCTTTCCTGGCAGGTTTTTTACAGAACGGGTTGTTAAACAGCAGAACCCATCATGAGACCGTTTGACCCCCATCATGTCTGCCTGGATTGTTCATTTCCTCTTTGATGAGATAAACCACAAAAGACTCGGCACCATACTATAATTAGAACAAGAGTGTTTTTGCTGGTTGTGTTTGTGGGTTTGTGAGCTCTGGGTTCATCAGGACGCTAAAAACAGATGCTCAAAGATTCTTCTACCATCTTTAGTCCATTAAAGGGGTTCTAATGCAACTTTTACTCATAAAAACAAAATTCTCACGTTACATAAATGTTTTTTCAGTGCGCTCTGAAGCCGTTGGTTATCATAGTGTTTTTACCGGTGCAGTCACAGAGCTGCATCCACTCAACGACGGCACTCTAAAAATAAACAATAGCTCAGGAATCTTCAGATAAGTGTTGGGTAATCAGTCTCCTTTTGGCCTTCGGTGATCGGCACCTTTAACCCCCTCCACCCCCCCACTCCACTGTTGTTTAATGAGCTCTGAACACACAGAGCAGTCCGCCTCGTATTCACCCCGACACATTCCACAATATCAGAGAGCGCCCAGTCACCACCGGCTCCACGCCTCTCCGAAGGTTTGACAGAGTGATGGCGGCAAAAACACACCGAGGGACCATTTTAATCTTTGTCAGAATTATAAAGAGCCAAGCTAGAAAATAAGTTATGTCAAATTTTGCATGTACAGCTTTTTATTCTGCTGTTGGGACAGGAGGTTCTGGTGATTAGACCCCAACCAGCTGGTTCAAATCGTTTTACTGGTGGGGAAACAAGGGGTGAAATTCTCCGTTTCTCTGTTTGATGACATTACACCACGTGGACCCAGACCTGCTGAGGGAAACGATGTGAAAACATGATGAACATCACTCCAACTAGGCATGTCGCAATTAAAAATAAATCAATTATTCACATGATAAATTAAATTGATCTACTTCATTTTCATTTATCGGCTTTATCGTTTTTTGTGTCTCTCGCTCTCTGAAGACACTGGATGAGAAAAGGCTCAACTCCGGTGTTCTTCACTGACCCTTCCCTTTCTCTTTAAAATCTGCTTTAACCAACCAAAATCGCCTTTTTGGATCGTTAAAAGCAGCTAAGCTGAGAAGCTAAGCTACGAGCTAAGCTAACAAGCCGACCTCGAGAAAAAAAACCTCCGTCTTGTTGAAGCTCCAAAATTCACAGTTGAAACCCGTGCCTTTGTGTAAAAAGTTGTTTTTCTCTGAAAAAAGAAGCTGAGAACTTGTTTTCTGATTTTTTTAATTAAAAGCTTTGTTTTAAAAATGCTATTATAAAAAGCTCAAACCACAATGAGTGTCCGCCATTTTGAGAACCCCCCAAAAAAAGGTGAGAGCCCATGTCACGTCAAGGGGCCTCCATCCCATTTTTCTTAAAAATACACGCTGCTCGCTCCCTCACTATCCAGTTCGGTCCGGTTCAAACAGTTTTAGACTGCCATCCGGTGGTCAAAAAAGGTACTACACTCAAAACAAATTAAGCAACATTTCTTCTTAAATTTGACAGTAATTGCTAATTATTGTCAAATTTAAAACAATTTTATTGTTTATTGCAATAATTTCTTAGACAATCGCTCATCAAAATTTGTTATCGTGACAGGCCTAACTCCAAGAACCTCCTGCTGCCCTTGGGTCAAAATGAGGGCCTCATTTTGACCCAGTGTAATAGTTCAGGTCTTTGGAAGTGGAGATCTGTGGAAAGATTATGAATAGTCAATATCTTACCTGCTGCAGATAGCTCTTTGACCTACCTGCTGACAGCTAGTCCAAGTGGAGTCAAGACCTAAGTGGACTTAAAAAACTCCAGGTCTATTTTACAATAAGGTATCCTTAGAAACAACTAATTAATAGTTAATTGTGCCGTAGTACTTAAGGTGTAAACTCTTAATAAACTGACTTTTCTTGCCAAATAAATTCAACATTTATCTGTACACTAGTCTCACTGTTTAACTTTAATTTTTTAAATTTTAAATATAAATTGCTCATCAGGAAGTCACCTGCAATTTAATAGGCACCACAAGTTTATTTTGACGTAAAGTAAATTTAGTTAACGTATGAAAAGCAACTAAAAACATAACATGTTTACCTGAATGGACAAAACACAACACTTGATCCTGCCAAATAGTGAGCCTGCTTTTTTATTTTACAACTAATTTATAACTTTTTTTAATGTAAAGGGACACCACAATTCCAATCTTAAAACTTGCAGCGTGAAAGTTTGTAAAACAGTCTTCAAATGAATAGTTTCAGTAGTTTTTACAAAGGCTAGCCGTCAAGCTAGCCGTTAGCCCAACAGTCAGGTCAGATTTAAACTTTACTTCTCTAAACCGAGGCTGCTCAAAAGGCCATTGCAACAATGACGATGATATTTGTTTATAACAGCTCTACAGAACGCTGCCTTAAATGATCTGAACCAACTCTTTTGGAGGTTTCCACACCTATATCGATCGTTAAACCAATAAACTCTTAAACAAACGACACAGATCCTCTAGTTTGCACCTCCAACTAAACCAACAAAACTAAATCAGCTCCTCAAACAGCCGTGAAGTCCGGGCCAGGAATCTAAATCTGTTCGTCACCCTAACAAGGTACGAGCCAATCCCCACGTCACGGCCAATGTGCGCATTCCGCAAGGTGTATGTTTAGGGTTCCCTTAAATTACTGCATTTTATTTTTATTGCCCCCCAGGAATATTTCCTTTAGAATTTGTAGGATGACGTAGACAGGAAGTTAGTCTTTCACCATGTTGTCGATTGGATGGATTCTGCCATGACTATTTATGCAGCTCATGGGTGATGAAAACGTAGCTCAGTTGAACAAGCTTAAAAAGCATGTTAGGGTTCACTCACTCAGTAGGCAACACTAAAACAGTGCTGAATGGCATGTCAAGGCGTATGCAAAATAGGTTTCTCTTTGACCACACAAACCTCCAGGGTTCAGTGTTTTAATTCTTAATCAAAATCTGTAGAACTTTTTCTTTCTTTCTTTACATGAATAGTCTTCAAATAATATTAAAATTCAGTATATACTTTTAGTTTAATAACGTCACCCCCAATGACCGGAAAAGCTCCCCTTCAACGAACTTGAAGTGGCCCATGGGCCACCAGTTGATAATCTCAGTTGAAGCAGGATTTGCAGTTCAGGACAGAGAGCGGAGGCAGAAATTGCTCTATGGGTCAAACAAAGGTTGCGGACCTCTGCTCTAGATTTTGCAGTTTAGAATTATTAATTAATTGATTACTTAATAATATTGGTAGCCGATGTAAAGAAAATGCCTTTTTCTACTTCTCCTGAAAAGTTTATCCAATTATCTGAAGAAACAAGTAAGTTGTAAAGTTATTTTTGTTGTTTGCTGCAGGTCGATCCTAGTTTTTAAGGTTAAAGGAAATATTAGGGATGCACAATATTATAGGCACAATATTATCAGCATGGTATTATCAGTACAGTATTATCAGCACGGTATTATCAGCACGGTATTATCAGCATGATATTATCAGCATGGAATTATTATCAGTACAGTATTATCAGCACAATATTATCAGCACGATATTATCAGCACAGTATTATCAGCACAATATTATCAGCATGGTATTATCAGCACAATATTATTGGCACAATATTATCAGCACGGTATTATCAGCACAGTATTATCAGCACAATATTATCAGCATGGTATTATCAGTACAGTATTATCAGCACAATATTATCAGCATGGTATTATCAGCACGATATCATCACAATATTATTGGCACAATATTATCAGCATGGTATTATCAGCACGATATCAGCACAATATTATTGGCACAATATTATCAGCATGGTATCGGACAATATTAGCGTTAAAGTTCAATATCAGACATTGGCCATTCCATCAAAATAACTCACTGATATAAAAGACGCTGTTTTAGTACGACAACCCAGTAACAAGGATGCCTGCAGTTCCAGAACAACATGATGACATCACGCGCGCCTACCTGATCTCACGGTGGAGAGGAAAATTCAAAATGTCGGTGGTGTGAAAGGTTTTTTTCGTTGAGGATGTCGGATTCCGAAGATTTTTGGACTACGTTGAGCCTTGCTAAATCGTCCCCGGTCTGAGATATTTTTCCGACGTAGCCTTACCAGAGTTACAAGCCGTCATTTCCGACGTTATTGAGAAGCTAATAGCCGATAGCACGACTTGTTGGGTGAGTTTTACCACAGACGTTTGGACGTCGTGTTAGCCCCGTTAGCATGATTAGTCTTACGGAACAATGGATAGACAAAAACTTTGATCTTAAAAAGGCTGTCCTTCATGCACAGGAGTGCAGAGGATCCCACACTGCAGCTAGAAACCTGGAACAAGCCTCCACAAGTGAGACAGCATCACAGGTGACTAATGCTAATAAATAATATTTAACACTTTTCATTTAATATAAGTTAAAGTGCTATGAATGTAACCGTTACTGAATATACGTCAGCAGCTCTTACAGCTGTTGCACAATTTTTGTAGCAAATAAGCCTAAATAAGAGGGCTATGTTCTGACAAAGGAAAGTATATAAAATATCAGTGTTGGTTATCGGCCAAATACGTTTTAACATGTCGGCATATCGGCCAAAAATCCAATATCATGCGTCCCTAAAATATTTTGAGTAATTTTTCGAGACTAAACTTGCCATAATCCTTATTTCTTCACCAGTCCAGAAAATCTTAGTGTTGGTTTTATCGAACTCAGTCCATTGAAAATGTAAAAAGAACCATTCATGGCCTGTGGATGGTTTGGTCTCATACCTACCTTATTACTTTCAACTCTTTTTAATATTTATTTCTGGTACTACCAGGAAATTTACCGGCAGCACAAGACCCTGAGCCAAATGAACCACTCCCCACCTGGTCAGAGGGGCCAAAAGTTTGTCAAAGTGCATATTTACTTACCGCCTTGACATTGTAATATTCCAGAAAGATGCATTACGGCAGGTGCAGCCATGACAGTTTAATCAAATCCATCGTTTTGCTTTTAAATTCAATAAAGTTTCAGGCTTTTTGTCGTGTGTTTTTCAGTCTTTGGATGCTCAGTTTGTGTTTTAAACTGATTTTTTTTTTTTACAATTTGTTTAAAATTGTGCAACAAGTCACAACTCCCCCCCCCCCCCCCCAGGGGCAGAAAACAAAAACCTTTACCAGATTATAAACTGTTCCCTGAAGGTGCCAGAAAGCAGACAAAGGAGCGGCTCCTACCAGACGTGAGGGAGGAGAAGCAGCTCCACGGAGCCTCCTCCTCCTCCGCGGGGCTCCGAGCCCCGGACTGGGAGCAGGACTCCCACAGGGACTGGGAGAAGTGGTCTGCGGTGACCCAGGCTGGACTCAGCAGAGCCACCAGGTCCAGGCAGAGCGCGAGGAAGACGCAGAGCAGCGCGATCAGCTTGAAGGGGCGGAACACGTACACCTCGTTCACGGACATCTTCTGCTCGGACAGGAGCGCGAGCTCCTCTCTACATCTGCTCTCACGGCTTTGTCGGGGGGGAGGGGGGGAGGAGAGAGCAGGAAAACGACCAGGACACTTCCGGAGTGAGCGGCTTTTCAAAATAAGAGCCACGTTTTTCCTCCATTATTTACTGTATTAGTAAATTTGAACTTTGAAAATCTAATAAAGAACACGATGTGCAGAAAACATGTTGAAATGATGGGTTTTTTTTTTATTTCTTAGATAAAACAAATTAAATGAAAACTGACTAAAATTGTTTGTGATTAGGCACTTTTAAATACCTGAATTTAAAAAATAATGTTTTCTAGAAAAGAAAAAAAACTTTTATTTGATATAGTCAGCATGACAAATGCACGCTCCCACAAAACCTGCAACATCTGCGGCATTGTGCTGTGATAAAACTGCACGTTTTAGAGTGGCCTTTTATTGTGGTCAGCCAAGGCACACGTGGATTGTACAGCACCTTTCTATCTGATCAAGATACTCAAAGCGCTTTATACTAGAATCTGTGTTCTCATTTACCCATTCATACATCACTCTACTAGATCTATACAAAGCTAATTGAACAAATCCTTCTAAAAAGACTAATCAGTGCTTTATCACATTCATACCCAGACGGGGCATTCATCAGAGGCAATGAGGGGTTCAGTGTCTTGCCCAGGGACTCTTCGACATAATGTGAAATAATCATGTTGTCTAATCAGCTTCAAGATGTGCCACACCTGGGAGGTGGATGGATTATGGCTTTTACGCAAATATGTGAACAATCTAGTTGATCTTAGAGATTTTTGAGTATATATATATCCATCCATCCATTATCTTTACCCGTTTATTCCATTTTGGGTCACGGGGGTCACTGGTGCCCATGTCCAGCAATCACTGTGCGAGGGGCGGGGTACACCCTGGACGGGTCTCCAGTCCATCACAGGGCCACAAAGAGACAAACGAGACAAACAACCATTCACTCTCACTCACACCTAGGGACAATTTAGAGTTACCAATTAGCCTAACATGCATATTTTTGGTCTGTGGGAGGAAACCGGAGAACCCGGAGAAAACCCACGCATGCACGGAGAGAACATGCAAACTCCACCCAGAAAGGCCCCTGGACCAGGATTTGAACCAAAGACCTGCTCGCTGAGAGGCAGCAGCCTACCAGTTGCGCCACCGTGCTGCCATGGTTCCTGACCAATATGAATGTTTTTCATTCAGTCAACCTTTATTTATCCAGGTTAGCCTCATTGAGCCACGAGGACTCATTTACAAGAGAGACCTGTTCCAGACAGAACATATAAAGTACAGACAACAATAACAGTAAACAATGACAACAACAAATTACAGAAAAAATGCAGTTAAAATAAGAGTAGCTTATAAAACAATAAATCAGGGTGCTGTAAAACAGGGTGAAATACTAAAAACAAGAACATATCTGCCTTGATTTTTCCACAGACATCAAATTTTTGAAACCCCTTAAAGAAATCAAGGTGGACAACTTCAGTTCCTGTTGCGAGGTGTTCCAGGTTGCAGGAGCCGAGTAGACCTTTTGTAGTTTTGTCTAGAAGAAACAATATTATCGACATCTAAAAAAGTAACTAAAGACTGAAGTGTGACTTAAATATATGTTACAACAGCATGCACAAGTCTTTGAATATAGTTTGTTCTTTTAAAATCAGCACAAAAACAACACCATTTCTGAAGAAATGAAGCGCTGCAAAAATGAAGAATTTAGCAAATTTCAATTTGGGGATCACTTTTCACCCTGCTCAGGGACAAAACGTAAGAATACAGCAGTTTTCAATGTGTGTGCTTCTATTTTGACAAGTAAGAAAGTAACTAATCTTATGTTTTTGGGGCGTAAATTTAAGCATTTTTCAGGCTTGACGTGCTAGTGAAGAGAAAAGTCTCAGAGAGAGGGGTGGTGTTCTGTAAAGTTTTCCAAGCTTGTGGCTATTTTAAAAAAGGAAACGTGTCAAACAGCAGAATATATTTACAGAAATACATCATTAACGTGCATGCACACAAAGTCAAAACTTTTGAAACATGAACACAATAAATAAAAAAGCTTCAGATCTTCTTGGTCATATATTTTATATTAGCTTTAAAATGTCTCGACTCACCTCTTTATAATTAGGGATGGATGGATGGATGAAGAGTCCTGAAAAGAAAATGTTGTAATGTTCAAATCCTCCAGCAGATGGAAGACACGCAACATCTCTTCTAAAATCACTTGGAGGAGATCATTCCTCACACATGTTGTTTGTCATGTTCTTGGTAAAGAAATCCCCTTTGCAAACAGAATCGTGCTGAGCTGCAGAATATTTCTGGAAGATTTGCCACAAAAATCTCCTGCCTGCCCACAGAACATTGGGCTGAACAGAACAGGGCTGTCTGCATCATCTTTACTCTGTTTTTTGTGTCTCACAGAGACAGTGTGTAGGTCAAGCTTAGTCATGTTTCACCCATTTTGGAAAATAACCCTCTGTTTATTCCTGCCCCGAGAACATTTAATATCACCTACAAGAAGCTGTGGATTAAAAGCACACTTTAAAGAAATTAAAAATAATAATAAAAACCTTTATTCGTTCAACCTTTATTTATACAGGTTAATCCCATTGAGCCTCAGGGACGCAAGTGCACGTTTTTACTCATTTCATGGTGCACCCTCTCTATGACTGTTTTGAATATACAGTATTTCCATATGTTAGTGCAGGGGTGTCAAACTCCATTACAAAAGAGGGCCAAAATTCAACATTTTTTAAAAGCCGTTTCACATTCATATCCTGATACATGCTCAATAATCAATGATTCACATTCAGTTTGATACCTGACGTCTTTTCTTGGGTGCAGGTTCCTTAACAATGGCGTCATCTGCCTCCTTTTTGTGTTCTCTGCTGCTTTTTTCCACATCATCAACCTGTGGAAAAATTCAAACAATTTTTTCTTGACCTAAAAGTTGGCCTGCTGTTATGAGAAGTCCGCACTAACTAAAGTATGCAAAGTTCTTAAGTAAAATGAGAATTAAAAAAAAAAAAAAAGAGACTTTCAAAAGATCCTTTTGGGGGCCAGATAAGATTTTAACAAAGGCCATATTTGGCCACCGGGCCTTGAATTTGCCACGTGTGTTAGTGAAAAATAGACTTGCAGGTTTTGTTATTTTTTCAGCAAATAAGTGTTATTCTTGTTAATTATAAGGAATTTGCCATACACTTTAAAATATGTAAAAAAAAAAAATAATTCATAGATGAAATAAACTCTGGTGAAATACAGTTAAAGACATTTTATGGATTGAACCTGGAAAATTCAGTCAATGCCGAGCTTCAGATGGATGTGAGGCCATCCAAAGTTTCTTTTTGTAACAAATTTATGTTTCTTTTATGTCAGTTTTCACTGGATCTTTATAAAAAAAAATGGTATTACAGTAGATATGTTTATTTTTGTTTCAGTCCATGTCAACATTTGACATGAAAACACTGAATAAAAGTCAAGCTTCTAATTTTAAGTGTCGTAACCAGGAGGACTCTGGTGTAGATAAACCCAATGGTGCAGGCAGGCAGTCCAGTACTCAGAATATATATTAAATGAAAGATTTATTTACAATACATAACAGAAAAGGCTGACAGGGCAGCAAAAACTCACATAAACAATCGGGGTGCACAGGGAGTAGACAGGACATGACCAGAGGACAGCTTACAATGGCAGGAAAAAGGTCAAACACATAGACATATACAGTGACTGAGACAAAACTCCTGTGAGGACACACAGCTGAAACACATCAGGGGAAATGATAAACTGGGAAACCAGAGAGTGCAGGAACAGAGACACAACACCAGATGGAGCATACACTAGGAAAACAAACCCTTTAGACAACAGAAACTGAGGAGCAGAAGAACACAGGACATAAACACAACACAAGATGGGGCTAGACACCAAGAAACAAACCACCATCCCTACAATAAGATGTTGTGGTTTTGTTGAAGCTATAAAACCCTCAATGTTTGTTTACACAAGAGCTACAAGAAAACCCTATGACCGTGATCTTTATGACCTTTATGAGCTTTTGACCATTTTCAGGTCAACTCACAAACTTGTCAAAACGTTTCACCTTCAAAAAACAAAGATGACCATTTGTAACACTCTGAACACTAGTGATTTGGTCAGTTGTCTTGTTAACGTCTGTTGGTGTTAAACACGTCATAACTCAGAGAAGAGGAGGAGGTGTCCACAAACTGTTGCTTCAAAGAGATATTGTCACATTTTTACACAACAGACAATCACCAGAAAATATCTCAGTCAGGAAAATAAGCTCAGATGATTTTGATTTAAAATGTAAAACATGGTTCAGTTTTTTTTTTAAATTACATTTTAATAAAGGAGTTTTCTGGCATTTTTTCCATCTCCGTCTTCTACCTTCTGTCCATAGATGAGTCACGGAGGCAACAGGTCCAGGAGATAAACCCAGATCTCACTCTCCTCAGCAACACTTTCCTGCTCCTCCCGGGGACTCTGAGGTGTTCCAACAGTGAAGATACACAAACCCTCCAGCAAGTAGTCTGCCCTGGGGCCTCCTATCTGTGGGACGTGCTTAGAAAACCTCCAAAGGGAGGTGTCCTGATCAGATGAACCTCCTATACTGACTCCTTTCGATGTGAAGAAGCTGCAGCTCAATTCTGAGCTCCTCATCCATCTCATGATCCAAACCTCATGACCACAGGTGAAGGTTGGATCATAGACAGATCAGTAAATGCAGAGTTTTGCCTTTCGACTCAACTCCTTCTTCACCACGACCGGCCGAAGCAACATCCTCATTACTGAGGACGAGGCTCTGATCTGACCCAGTGCACGCTGAATGTGTGCAATAGGGCTGAAATTTCTGATATTTCCTTGGTGTATACAGGAAGAAGTATTTTCCAGTATGGACTTACACAGGTGCTTACCTCAATATGATGGTTCCGGTCATTGTTGTAGTAATTTGTCAT